TAGTGATCTGGCTACCGATTCTACCAATTCTGATTTAGAAGAGGAACCAATGGCTCAAAATCGGACTTTAAAAGAGCTTGGAGCTCCAAATATGGATCAGCAACCTTTATGCATTACTTTTCCCGCTCTGGATGCTAATATACAATTTGAACTAAAATCTGGGTTAATTCATCTTTTGCCTTCTTTTCATGGACTTGCAGGTGAAGATCCGCACAAACACTTAAAGGAATTTCATGTGGTGTGTTCGAGTATGAAACCCACAGGGGTTACTGAAGAACAAATCAAGTTGAGAGCCTTTCCATTTTCTTTGAAAGATTCAGCGAAGGATTGGCTATATTATTTACCTTCCGGAAGCATCACCACATGGAATAACTTAAAGACACTATTCCTTGAAAAATATTTCCCAGCTTCAAGGGCGGCCAACATTAGAAAGGAAATCTGTGGTATAAGGCAAAACAATGGAGAGTCCCTGTATGAATATTGGGAGCGTTTCAAGAAACTATGTGCAAGCTGCCCACACCATCAAATCAGTGATCAATTACACGTTTGCTTGTCCTCAAGCAACTGTTGCTAGGTCATCCACTGAGGCTGAATACAAAGCTCTTGCAGATGTTTGTGCTGAAGTTCTATGGATTATGTCATTACTGCGTGAGATATAGATTCCGGGTATTTCCATTCCAAAATTATGGTGTGATAATCTAGGAGCTACATATATGAGTGCCAACCCAATCTTTCATGCGCGCACCAAGCATGTGGAGATTGATTATCATTTTGTTCGTGATCGAGTAGCTTCAGGTGATATTCAAGTCAACTTCATCTCCACAAAGGATCAACTTGCTGATATCTTCACCAAAGCTCTGCCTGGACCTAGATTTTCTTCCCTAAGGGACAAGCTACAGGTTACTAGTATACACTGTGCTTGAGGGAGAATATTAGGACTCTATGTATCTGAGTCTGTTTAGAACTTCTTATCCTTGTCACACTGTGACTCTCTACTTCTTATCCTTATCACACTGTGACTCTCTATTATATATATTCACATCATCTGATCTCATTGTAATCAAGTTCAGAAAATATAATACAATCAGTTCTCATCGTTCAAATAATCGGAATCGAAATGCAGCCCCTAATGCATGCAAAGGAAATTAGTCTCCTACAGAACTTCTATACAATTTTAGTAAATCTACATTTTTGATAAAAAAAAAAAAAAAAAAAAAAAAAAAAAAAAAAAAAAAAAAACAACTGTCTGGGTTCCTTTAATATAGAATTTATTAAATGTGGATGAAATTCCATAATCACGATCATAGATTCATAGGTATTCAATTCCAAGCCATTTTTGGTTATGGTGCAAGGGTCAAATATGATCCATTTGTGAAGAGGAAGGATAAGAATAAAAAAAAATTTGAAAAAGAAAAAACATATTGAAATTTAGAGTCTGTTTGAAACCTGAAAAATGATTTTCAGAAAATAACTCACTTTTCAAAAAATAATTTATTTTTTATAAAATATTTTTTGTAAATTTATAATTTAAGATGTGTAAGTTTATAGTGTTAGGTCACTTAGATGCATAAGGTCACAACTTAAGGTGTGCAAGTATAAAACTTAAGGTGTATAATTTTATAGCTTAATGTGCATAAATTTATAGCTTAAGGTACGTATGTTTAAATTTAAGATACATAATTTTTTCTAGTTTTAGGTGCATTAGTTTAACTCTTAAGGTGGATAAGATTTTAGCTTAATGTGTGCAAGTTTATAGCTTAAGGTGCGTAAGTTTAAATTTTAAGGTGCGTAAGTTTATAGTTTAAGGTGCGTCAATTCGAGACACTTGATCATTTGTATCCATGTTGTGAGGAAACATTTAAAAAAAAAAAATCTTTAATTTGAGGCGTTGATCTAAATTAAATCAAGTGTTCATATCTCATCCCATCTTTTACTTGACCCTTCGAACGTGAATCATTTTCAAAACTAGTGTGTGTATGTGTGTGTGCGCGTGTGTGTATATATATATATATATATATATATATATATATATATATATATATATATATATATATATATATATATACACACACATATATAAAGAGATGAAAAAAATTGAGGGGTAAAAACATATAAAAAAAGATTAGCAATGATAAAAGTTTTAAACCCCAAACATCATGATTGGGGTAAGAATTCTAGACCACTAGGCTTAGTCATAACTTATGCTGAAAAGTCGATGACGTGTCCAAAAGTGGCTGCTATTGACGGTGAGCCACCGTCCAGCCACCAACACGCCGTGTCGTCCAATTTGTAGCTTAATTTTTTTTTTTTTTTTTTTTTTTTTTTTTTGTTTAAGAAAATATATTTCACTTTCACCCCATAAAAAAATCCCAACCTCATGTCATTGGATATTGGACTACATATATTAATTATTTCCTAAGTTATTGTTTATTCATGTCATACTTTTTTTTTCTTTTTTTGGTGAGAATTTATTCATGTCATACTAATATTGTTAATGTAATATTTAACAATTATTGTATTGGACTATTTGAAACAAAGTTAATATAGATTAGGAATCTTTTGGATATCTTATTTTAAGTTAAATAGTTTTTAATAAGTTGGACAAGGTTTTGGGAAGTAACACAAGGCTTAGAGGTAAAGAAAGTTGATTAATTTAATTTTGAAAAGGGGTCTATTCAACTCGTTGCATGGGATTTTTCTAATATAGACTGCATTTTGCTACTTATGAGCGAGATTTATCAAGTTTATACTTTCAGCTAGTGGTTGCGGGTCTCTTTTGTCATAAAAAAAGTTGTTTAAAATGTATTCTCACAACAGTTATGTTAATCACTATCTGGTTTGTTGTTTGTACCTTTATCAATTCATAATAGGTGATTTAAGCAGGTCTATACGGACTTAGTTTATTGGTTCAGTTTGTAGTATTTGGGTGAAGAGACTAAAGTTTGAACATCGACAGCGACAGTGTGGGATTATGTCCAAAGTGAATAGATCTCTTGTGTGCACCGGCATTTGACCCTTGTCTGCTAAGTCATTAAGTCACCGTGATTTACATATTCTCAAATGCTCTGTCGAGTCGGAATGTAGGGGGCGGGTTTGAAAATTCAACCTTTGGGGAGAAAAAGGCGATTTAAGCATCATCAGATAGCTAATTCATAAGGATACACTTTTTATGAAAAAAAAAAACAAATTTTACAGGACGTTTGGTTGAAATGAAGGAATTATGGAGGAAATGGATTGTAATTCGGTGGGAATAAAGTAAGAATTCAAATTACATTATTTGTATGCATAAATAGAATTTCTGGAAATTGAAAAAAGAATAAAATGTTCTTGGTAATAGTAATAATAATAATAATAATAATAATAATAATAATAATAATCATAAAGGGTCATGTTGTAATCTCATATTGTTTTCCTTTTCCATGTTGCAGAAATTCATAGGGGAGTCCTTCAACCCTATGAATAATGAAGAAATTCATAGGGGAGTCCTTCAACCCTATGAATAATGAATTCCAATTTCTGCCCGCATGGATAGTTCAATTGATCATAGAGGTGAAAGTTTGGAAAAATGACCAGAGATCGAGTCTCACCAGCGGTAGTGTGAGAGCAACCTCTCAAAGTGAGGGGACACCTTGTGCGCAGCAAGCAAATGTCTAGCCTCTGTGGTTCATGTTCAGTTGAGTTACCATGATTTACATATGAAGGAAGAATGAATTCCAATTCCTCAAATGGAGGGAGTTGTTATTCAGTAGAATTGCAATTCTCTCTAATCAAACAACATAATTGAGGGGCTCAACCGAATTATATTGTAATTGCAAATTTAACCCAATTAAATATTGGGCTGCAATGAAACTAGTAAGATTTTTGATAAATTTCTAATATATTTATGGTGATGCTATTGGAGAAGATGTTTCTTTCCTAATCAACTACTTTGGGCTGCAATGAAACTAGTAACATTTTTGATAAATTTCTAATATATATATCTATGGTTGATGCTATTGGAGAAGATGTTTCTTTCCTAATCAACTACTTTTCTAATTTAGTTGAGGTTGTGCTAATTTGTTGAGCAGAAACTTTGGAAAGCTACCTACAAGAGTAACCTTAGTGGAAAAAGGGGTTCTAAAATTTACAAGGAAATATTTACTATTTTTTAGTGATTTGATAGAAAGTTTAAACATAATAATCATTGAGGATTCTTTAAAAATGTTATTATTTTGATATTTTCAAAAATCCTCTCATTACCATCTTATTCATTATGTGAACTCATTCACCTTAACTCTTAAGTTGATGATGTTGGTAATTTTGACCAAGACGTATCATTGACTCTTGCCATGCAATTAAAAATTTATTTTGGTGTTATTGAACTTAAATTATATGTTTGTGTTTTGAATTTAGATCACTAAATTGCAACATTTAAAAAAAAAGACTTTTAAAAAAATTTGATTGTGTTGATCAACATAAGATATTATTGGTAGTGCCGATCAATATACAATATTATTGATAGTGTTGACCAATATAAAATATTATTAATGATAATTTATAATTAAGATAATATCAAATACGATCGATACATGTAAATTGTAATTGATTCGAAATTAAATTTGTAATTTTTTATACGAGAATTATATTTTATCGATGACCTGATCACTACTATAGGGCAACAGACTCTCTCTTTTTTTAACTTTTGAAAGTATTAATAGAATTTTCAAAAGGTAATAAGTAAGGTTAATTTTTTTTTTAAAAGAAAAAAAAAAAGAAAAAAGAAGACAAATATTGCAAAATTGCTATTGCTATATCCTATATATCCGCGTATTCCGCAAAACCGGCGATTCAAAGTTGCGTCCTACTCGCGCGCGTCGCTTGGTCAGCCGAATAAGAATAATCTCAGAAGGCATTCCAAATTCTAATCTTGAAAGATTAATCAAAATTTTAAGTCAAATTATAGACTTATAGTACAAACGATAATTGGCCGTAAATTAATTAGAAAAATTCCCAAATTCTCCTTTTTCTCTTTCAACGGAGAGTAGTTCCTACACGAAACACTCTTCCTCTCTCTTTCTCTTTCTAAAAGCCTCTTCTCTCTCTCTAAACTCTATCTCTCTCTCTCTGCCATCATCCCTTCAATCACACAGGTACTGAATACCGATATGCATGCGTATTTCTACACTCGCTTTATACGTATTTGTATCTGTATGTATACGTTGTGCTTGAGCTTGTATTTTGTGCTTATTGAATTTTGTTGATTTGAGTGTTTGCGGCTGGCAGCGAGAGTGTATGTTTTATGCGTTTCTGTATGTGTGTGGCATCTGTTTGTATTCGCGGGATTGAATTTTGATTGGTATGTGGCTTGGTTGGATGATTATTGAGTTGCAGTACTGAGTTTTTGAGCTGATTGATGTTAATTGGATTGCGGTGATAGTTTGCTGGTTCGGAGCCGCGGATGAGAGTCGACTCGTTTACTAGGGTTTTGAGCTGCGTGTAAGTCGGAGGATTAGATATAGTTAGTGTGGAGTCATTTCTGGAGTTGATGTTTAATTGATTTTGTTCAATTTTAATGAAGACTTAAGAGAACAGAAAGCTTGATGTATAGTTAGTGTAGTTTGATATCAATTTCATCTGAGTTTTGGTGTGTGACTATTGAACAGATAGTATTTGTCTCCAATTCATGTTTATTGAGGTGGTTTGATTTGAAGTAGTACTAAATAGTCAACCTGGTTGCCATCTTCTTATTGCTGTATTGCTAGTCTGTTCTCTTGTATGCACAAACATCTTCTGAAAGAATACTCTGGAATCATTCCTTTTTGAAAATGAGTGACTGATGTCAGATTTCTCTTTGGTAAGATTTTGTGATGTGTATCTGACAGTTTAAATGTTGTAATGTTTAGAAGTAAAAGAATGAGCAAATCTCTCAGAAGTTCAGGTGGTTAACAACGATATATCAACTGAAATGGGAGGCTGCTGTTGTTGCTGTGCTTCTAAAGGAAGGGAACTGAATAGCTCATCGCCTTTTTACCATGTAAGTTGTTTCTCTAGATACCTTATAGAAGTACCGGTTTTGCTCTGGTTGTTCCTTTCTCTCCTACCTCCCCTGATTCAAGTTGTAAAGCATGCCTTCTCTAACCTTAATGTGGTCTGGGTGTGTGAATATCTTTTCTTTTCAATGGAAATACTATTTGATGAACTTCTCATTTTTTGCTTATATCACTAAAAGAAAAGTGTCTATTACCTATCAATCTCATCCATAGGTAAACAACAACATTTCATCAATAAATCAATTACTCATTGATAATTATCCATAAAAAAGAGTCACAAAATTCAGCCCATATTTAATATTTTACAGTGTAGCCCAATTTATGAACAATATAAACATGTCAATTTGGATGAGTCATAAGTTTTTTCAATTTTGGCACCCATACTTGAGCATAAAGCATGCAATGTTCTTTGAGTAATTGGACAGAAGAAATTAGGTTGGTACTTGAATGCAAAAGGTTATTGATTTTTTAATAATAATTACAAAGTTTAATTCAAAAGATAGTTGTAATGAGAGAAGGAAAAGATTGGAGTTAGAATAGAAATTTCTATCTAATTACACAATTATATTGTGGGAATACAATAGTCAGTATACATATAAGCGTCAACAGTCAAGTACTCCTGTTATGTTCATTATTGTTGGAAAAATTGAACCTTTTGCTTCTTTTCAAATAAATGTTACTGTGTAATTGCACTCTCTTGTGAACCTCTGCTTTTGATGTATGCTGTTCTCCATCAATGAAATTTTCAGTCTACAAAAGTGGTATGTCCATTACAAATGGCATATCGTGTTTTATAAAGTAATCTGTAATGATCATAACATATGGATTATTATGCAACAATGCTGTCAGCCTGTCATTCAATTTTTTTTGCAAGCTACATCATCATGTAGCTAGAGTAAATTCTATAAAGTAAGCACTTCTTTTAGGGACATTTAACTGTTTCATCCTTTTCAAAATAGTTGCAAGTAGTCGGTGAATATCATTATTCAAATACAGTAGATTCCATCTTACTGATGTTCTAATCTCTTTGTTGCTGCGCAATAAAGTTTATATATTGTAAATTTGTTATGGAGTTAATTGTCTTTTTTTTTTCTTTTTTTTTTTTTTTTGAAATGGAGTTAATTGTCTAATTATCCAATATATAAAATCACCAACATCATTATTCAAATACATTAGTGTTCCTTCTAACTGTTTTACTAATGCACTAATCTCTTTGTTGCTGCGCAATGAGTCTTCCATACTGTAAATTTGTTATGGAGTTAATTGTCTAATTATACAATACATAAAATTATCAGAAGCATTTGATTGGAAAACCTCTTTAATTGTTCTGTGCCAGAACTGGATTTTTAAAAATATTTTCCTTGCAGTACCCCAGAGTGTCAGAGGAGCGACAACCTTTATCGCACCATGGTAGCACAGCCTTGGTACTCTCCACAGGCCTCTTAGTTGATACAAATCTTGATACCTCAAGTCCGGATACTTATAGGCCACCTCCAACACCAAGGCCATATGAAACACATGCAGGACGGCCTAGAACACCACCAGGTAATCAAGATGGCCACAAGAATGAGGCAGCGGCACAGACAAAAGACACTGAAACTTGTGAAGAAGCAAACTCTGGAAATGGTACAGAAATAGCTGACACAGCCACAAAAGGATCTGATGCTAAAATGCAAGATAATGTTGAGCTTACTGCTCAAAAGGAAGTGGTAGATGAACTTGAGAAATCTGGTGAACTTAAAAAGTCCAATGAACCTATTGTTCCATTACTTCAGGAAGAGGAGGATGTTTGCCCAACTTGCCTTGAAGGTCAGCAATAACACCCCCTGCTCTCCCCCTCCAAAAATAAAAAAATAAAAAAATCACACCCCATGTAGGTGAGGATGTATACACTGATGACTTGGAATATAAACTGGATAATACGTACATTTCTTCCTGCAGAATATGATGAGGAGAATCCAAAGATCATAACAAAATGTGAGCATCATTTTCACCTTTCATGCATTCTCGAATGGATGGAAAGAAGTGACACTTGTCCAGTCTGTGATCAGGTTAGCTATAAACCTCAACAATTATACGCACATGCCAGTTAAGAGTTTCCAACCATGGTTGTACCATAAAGATTCTATTTGTTTTTCTGGTTGCAGGAAATGGTTTTCAGTGCCTAGATTGATTGATCATTGTCACACTTCTGCTATTGGCATTTTGGTATTAATGTAGAAAGGAGTTTTTGGTGACAAGTCGCAATCCTTAGATTGCTCATTTGATTTTGCGGTGTTGTTTTAGTTCTTTAAATGAATTGAAAAAAAAATAATTTCAAAAAAAAAAATGGAAAAGAAGAAAATGCAAGTACATCAGTACATGGAATGTACATAGGTTTTCCTTTGCGGTTTCTTCGTATTTAATGATGATGAACTATATAGGTTATACATAGGGATTGGAGGAAATATCTTGCTGGCTGAAGCTTCCTACTAGATAGGTGCATCAAGATGTTGTGTTGGGTATTGCCTCCCGTTTTGGGTGGTTCCTGGCTCCCCACTGCTGCTAACCTTGTCTCTCAAGGCTTGTGGACAATCTGTCGTATTCTATCCATCTGTTCTTTATAGCGCTTTGTATATTTCCCCAGAAATTAAGACCATCTTCAGTGCCTATTACGCTTATTTTTTTGTTTTGGTTTTGGTTTTGGTTCTTTTGTTGTTGTTGCATTTGATTTTGGGACGGGAGGAACTTTGGCAACCTGCATTAGAAAATCAATTTTGTATAAAATGCTCGATTTCATACCACGTTTACAATTTCTTTTATTTGATTTGATGTGGATGTAATAGGCAGCAGCAGAATATGTCATTTGATGACATCGGGTATTGGACTATTGGTCCCCCTACTATATCTAATATAATTAAGTATATCATTTCTTTGTACTTTGTAGTTTGTCCATGATACCAAAGTTAATGGTATTGCCGGCGACTATAGAAAAAATCATATAAATTAATCACCTTTTAATTTAATCTCTAACCACATTTTCTTTTTAAACGTTCACTAAATAAGACAACGCTCACACCCATACACTCAATTGGAACCTAACAACACGGGATTGGGTAGTCCTATCCTTTGCTTTCAAAGAGTGAAGGTTATATGAGGTTCACAATTGAGTAGAGGGACCAAAGGTTAAGGGTTCGATCATTGGCTTTGGGTATAGAGTAGTTTTAAATTTTCATGCTAGCCTGTCCCACTCAAGGAGGTACTTACAATTCAGCGAGAGAGTACTCATTGTGTTCAACAGTGAAAACTCTAGGCTACACCCAAAAAGAAAAAAAAAAAAAAAAAGATGGTAGAAATCATTGGCAAACAAATGAAATTTGGAAAACAATATTTTGGTTGTTCAGTTATATGATTTGGTAGACTCAAAATTTTAATTGATGACACTTTCGTTATTGGTACGTAGGTACTGAAGTGAGAAGATATGATACTGACTATAAAAACTGAAAATAGTATTAATTGAATGATCAAAAGTTAATATTAATGGGTAGACAATAAGATAGGGTATATATATATATATATATATATATATATATATATATTTTGATAACCGGGTATATCTTTATAATTAAAATAATGAAAAATGTAAAATTTTAAAATGAAATTAGTGGGCACCAATATCCCAATTCCCTATGTTCCGCACTGGGATGGCTTTCCCTAATTATTACGATAGTATTCCAAGCTGTCCTTGTTTTCCTCAATTGGGTGGAAGTCAACAACCATCGCTTAAAAATGGAAATGGAAAATGATTCTTGCAAGCATTTGAGTGCAAGTCTCACTTCAAGTGGTGGAATGGTCCTCAACTTTTAGTTGGGTGTGCACTACCTAGCAAATCCACAATCAGTATATATATATATATATATATATATATATATATATATATATATATATATATATATATATATATATATATATATATATATATATATATATATAGAGAGAGAGAGAGAGAGAGAGAGAGAGAGAGTTAATTCCATTCTGACATTTCGTCAAAAAAATCATTGAAATATTGTTAAATACAAAGACATTTTGATCTTTTTTATACTAAGTAGGTTAACACGCTTGATGGAATAATTACAAGCGGATCTGGAACGGACTAAACTCGAAGCACCGAACCCGGACCTAGGCCGGGGTCGGCCAAGGCAGACCTCAGCCGGGCACCTTGACCTTGGCTGATGTCGGGCACTTGGCCGAGCTCCGTGCTCGATCGAGTGGCGGGGTCTCCGAGTTGTCCGAGTCACGCGGCGTCCGTTGCGGTCCAAGGCAGTTGAGGGGACCTCCACCGATTTCTCCGGGGTTGTTGGGGCGACATGGGGCATAAAAGTCATCCTTTGTGTCCTAATCAGACATCCTCTACTATTTATCCAAATTTGTCTTGTTATTACGCTATTCCTATCTTTGTAATAGCACTTTACATATGATTAATACAATATTTGTCTCCGTGACGTATATTCGTTCATTATTATCATTATATTCGTTCCTAAATCGTTCAATCCTATACTTGTCACATGAGTAAAAGACATTTTTGGTCCTAAACTTATAGTGGCATGGACAATTTTGGTCCTTCATAAAAAAATCAGACAATTTGTGGACACTTTATTGTGACGAGGACAATTTTGGTCCTCCGTCACTTACGTCGTTAGTTGAATGTCTAAATGAGGGGCAATACTGTCAATTCAACTAATTCTTTTGATCCTATGCCATAAACGAATCAGAAGGTGACATAAATGAAGCTATTTGTTGCAGATTTCCGACATAAATGAAGCTGTTTGATCCTATGGCTTTCTTGCTCTAAGGAATCACAAGTTTCACGCTGTTCTCTTGCCTGTAGTAGCGGCAGGTCGGAAGGGTCGGATTCATCCAAACCTCCAGCGCACGGTCTGCCATTTCACTTCTGTTTTCCCATATGAACTTGGTCACCTCCGAGAAGTTTGTAATCAGATCGAACCCCATTTCATACTAGCTCTCGCACCGCTTGCACTGCACCTCTCCCTTGATCTCGTAGATCTTTTTGAAATCCAGGTAATGTCGGCTATGCATCATGGCATGCCTGTTTGTCGCCCACTCATATGGAGGGGTGATCGTCTCGCTTTTACCCTTCTTCAGTCACAGCGAGGATGATGATGAGTTCTTCCGCGGTTTCGCGGAAGAATACTAACGGGGTTGGTATCTTTGTGCCGATGTCGGAGGAGAAGTAAAGAGATGCTGCAGGGTATTAGGCGATGAAAACACCGGACTGGCACATGATGTCCTGAAGGTCCGTCCACCACCATGTACCACATCCCAATCTGTCTTGTAAACCTCTTGTGAAAGCCTTGCTAACAATGTGTTTGCCAGTTTGCACCTTCCACTTCTTCTTCTGTTGCTACTATACTTCTATTACTTCTAAAGCTAGCCAATGGTGAGCAGAGTTGTGGGTGTTTCCTTGCATCTTTGAGAAGCTTATATGCATCTTCAGCATGTGTGTGATACTCCACCTTGTGAACTCGACTCTTATTCATACTGATCATCATCGTTTCTATTTTCATCTTATCATCATTGTCCTCAAGAAAGAGAGTGAATCCACCCACATTCAGCATTGAAATGAGACCTGAGTACTGGCTTTCAAGCCCAAAAACCAGGATATTGTAGGGGGTTCTTTCATATATAAGATCCGAGAGAAACCTCATTTCCTTCTTGCTGAGAATATTGAGATGGTGATCATCGCCGCTTACTAAAAGATTGGCAAGGTTGATATCTTCGTGCCGGTGCCGGAGGAGAAGCAAAGAGAGGCCGCAGGGCAGCATGTGAAAACTCCGAACTGGCACAGGAATGGATACCTGGAATGGATATTTGCGACGTGTTGTTGCTTCGGGACAGGAAACCAGCAGCGTTCTGTGTCGTGTTTGGCAACACTATCTTAAAGATATTTAACGACCAGGGTATCGTTATATCTCCGACAGATAACACAGACAGAAGAAATCAGTATAAAAAGAACTCGGGATAGTGTTTCTCGTATAGGGAATGTAAAGTGGTATTCTGTAAATGGAAAGTGAAATGCCATGCTATTTATAGCATTTCAACTTCCATTACAACCAAGGCACCTAAAGAGCGCATGCATGGTCCCTTAGTGCTAGAAAAGTGCTTGCCACATAAAATCATTCGGACATAATTGTGATGATCCACAAATATAGCACAACACAAAAGAGGACCAAGCACTGACACTAAGGCTTGCCTTTGGATGTTTCCCAACAATCCCCCACACATCCGAAGGTATAAGTCTTGACGGAGAGCAACTGAGTGTAACAAATAAGATCTAACTTTCATGTCAGTGTGTTAAACTTGAACTGACAAGTAGTGACACTAAGTAATCCACTATCCGAGAGTGAACAAAGTCTTGAACTCTTCAGCTAGTTGAATTTTGAACTTACGTGCACCTCGTTAGCTCCATTCGTTGTACACTTTGTATAGTTATTGGATAACCATGTATTAACCCTGTTTTGTCTGTCTCAGCACAGACATTCCACTCCACTGAGTGTATTTCACCGTAGACTGCCAATCGAGAACTACGGCAAGCGGACTGATTTACAGTCTGCTTATAAATGTGAGTCTTTCCATGATTTCGTTTGACCACCGAGGTGGTATCCATCATGAATTTCTCACCTCATTGGCTTTTAAGCCCATCTCCCTTGATGTATCAAGGATAACCTTTCGATTTAGGTGATGTTATCACATCTTTGCTTGTTATTATAGTTATTTTGAATCATCTCAGCATTTAAGTTCTTTAATTTTGCTTATTTAATACATATTTTCCTTGCTATTATCATTTAATTATGGTTCACACTTGTTTTGAATGTTTTACGGTGTTTGTTAGTGTTTTTGAACCATTGTAGGTCAATTCTATGAGCAAGGGAAGTTCAAGGATGAGTTTGGAGCAATTTTGGACAAGTTCGGGGCCCAGAGGACTCGACGCGTCGAAAATTTCCAGAATGTTTTGTGATCGAGACCTGCTGGTCTCGACGCGTCGAGACTTGGCTCGATGCGTCGAGCGTGCGCCGCAACAATTCTTCCGAAGTCGCCAACTACAAAAGGGCGTGGGCTTCATCATATTCAATTCAAGATTCCAAATTCTAAATTCACACCTCAATTCCAAATCCCAATTCAACTTCAATTTTGAATTCCAATTCCAACTCCAATTAAAGGCGGCAATTTCTTTTAATTAATTATAGGAATTATAATTTGAGTCGAATTTTGTACAAGATTCCTATTTCATCTCAACTTTGTACCCACTATAAAATCCCTCCTTCCTCAACCCTAAGACACGGAGAGATTTTTAGAGTTCTTTGTAGACAAGAAAGAGAGAAATCAAGAGGCTCAAGTCGTCTTTGGAAGCAAGGAGGAAACCAAGGAGATTTGGGAGAATCGCTTGGTTAATTCTTGTACTCTTTTGATGATTTGTAATCCTTTATTCATATTTGATATGTATAATTTAGCCATGCTCGGCTAAATTCCTTAGGGATTTTTCGGTGAATTTGTTTATGAACCTATGTGCCTAGTTCGTTAATTTCTTAATATATTTATGTTTGGTTTTATGATTTGTGTTGCAATCTTGTTTTAATCTGTTGTTGTTGGTAGTTAAAGGCCTAAATTACTAGCTTCACAGTCATGTTTGCGTCACCAATGGGAGTTGGGGCATAAATTAGGGCACACACGATTGCACCTAATGGTTGGTCCTTGGGAAAGGGGAACTTATTAGGGGAAGTTT